ATTAGCAGGGGTAGAGAGTTCAAGGTATCTCTTTATGCTGACGATTTATTAATGTATGTATCTGACCCTGCTTTATGTGCTCCTCATATCATTCACACCCTGAAGAGGTTTGGCGCCCTCTCTGGGTACAAACTGAACTTAAATAAAAGTGAATGCTATCCTGTTAATGACTTGGCCCTTCAAATACAGGATGGTGCCCTGCCGTTCCATCTGTCTAAAAACGGCTTTAAATACCTGGGCATTAATATTACAAGAGATCTGCAGAATCTTTACCAAGAAAACTTCTATCAGTTATTCGAGAAAATTAAATTAGATTTGAAGAAATGGAAATTACTTCATCTATCTCTGGCAGGAAAAGTTAACTGTATCAAAATGAACGCGCTTCCCAGATTTCTTTACCTATTTCAATGTATCCCACTTTATCTTCTTAAATCTTTTTTTAAATCTATTGATAAGGCTCTGATTTCATTCATATGGAACGGGAAGAAGCCTAGAATACGGTTAGAACTGTTACAGAGGCCTAAAAACCAAGGTGGCTTAGCCCTTCCCAACTTATGTCACTACTATTGGGCCTCAAATGTTCAAAAACTTATGTACTGGCTCTACACTCCTGATGCAGACTGGTGCCACTTTGAAGCTGTATCTTGCATCTCTACTTCTCTTAGAGCCCTGATCACTTCCAACCTTCCCCTCCCCTTCTCACAATATACTAACAGTCCTATAGTTATAAACACTCTCAAAATATGGTCTCAGTTCAGACAGAACTTTGGGTTTAATAACCTTCTCCATCTGGGTCCTATACACAATAATCACCTTTTCCTCCCAGCTAAGGTAGACTCTGAGTGTACTTTCTGGCAGAAACGTGGCATTCTTAATTTTGAGGACTTGTACATAAATGATAGCTTTGGAACCTTTGAAGATGTGTCACATAAATTTGGCCTCCCTCGGTCTAGCTTATTTAGATATTTCCAAATCCGCCACTTTCTTCAACATCACGGCCCCAGCTTTCCATACATATTACCTTCTGGTCTAGAAGATCTATTAAAATCTCAGTTTAATTCCAAAAGACTGGCCTCCAGAATCTATGATAGTATACTCTCTTTTAAAAACATAACACTAGAAAAGACCAGAGCAGACTGGGTGGAAGAGCTGGGGGAGGACTTGAAAAAGGACACTTGGGAGAACGCTTTATTAAGAGTAAACAACAGCACTTTCTGTGCTAAGCTTAATATTATACAATTTAAGGTCCTACATCGTATTCACTATTCCAAATCAAGACTAGCTAAAATATATCCTAACATAGATGCAAGTGTTGGGAGCTGGAGAAAATCCCATCTTTCTCCANCAGACTATTGGTGCTTCAACAGACCAGGAAGAAGTTGTGAGATTCTAGAGTGAATCTCACAACTTTAAAAGAAAATTCTTATTGCAGGAATGGATGAAGAGATGATGAGTTTGGAAGCAGAGAACAAACAGAGGTCATACAAACTATGGATGATCCTGTTTATCCCTGTTACTAAAATCCACAACAGAAAGAAAATATTTGGGCAGAAACTGAACATCTTCTGGATGATGATGGGGATATTTTTTAAATATGTCATATTAAATTAAACGTTCACAGGGTTTATACAGGAATGAGGAACTCGAATATAATGCTCCTTTAATGCTATTAGAAATAATTTTAATGCCATCAAAAAGTACCATTGAAATTTGTTTTCTTGAGTTGATTGGTGAAGGGGTCATTCACTCATTCAGGTTGAAAACCTTGAACAGAAGAGTAACAGGAGATATTGCGTTATTTCAACTTTAAACAAACACAAATCATTCAAATGTAAAAATAAAGATCAATAAAGTAAGTACTAATTCATCACTAATTACAACTAACTTTGAATGCAACCAAACTAGCGATGCCTTAGCATTAAGTCAGCATTAGTGCCAATAAACTTTTAAGCTTTAGCATTAATCTCACATAAATATATCCTGTTAAACATTTAACTTAAATAAATAAGATATGCAAATAGTGGAGTGTCAAAGAAAAGCATAACGCATAATAAAGCCATAAGGTTTGCTGTTCCAACCAATTGGACTGATTTGAGTCACTGATGTAAACAATAAGCTGCATCGTCAAGCTTAACATAAACTTCAGACTTCAAACTAGGCAAACAAATTAAGTGATTATAATTCACTGAAAGCCACTTACATTAAAATAAACTGAGTCAGATGCCAACTGAGACAGACATTTTACATGTGCAAATGTGGAGCACATGGTTAAGCAGAAGTTAATTCTTTCCACTTCCACAACAACAGGTGAGTCAAATATCCTACCAGTTGCTTTTGACGGTGAACTGAGGGATTTTAGTTTTCTTGCTTTGGCTTGTTTCTTCAAACTTTTGCTTCAAACTTCTGTAAAAGTTAAAAAAATATCCACTGGACTTGGTTACAAACATTTGAAGACGTTTGGCCACCTCTCCAGGAGGCTTTCTCAATTCAAATGTCTGGATCCACAGTGAGTTTGAGTCTTTATATAGACAAGGCCTCGTATCGCTTGGAAACATGCAAATGGTAACTGACGAGCGGGTCGTTTGGTTCCATTGTTAGCCTGTGATATCTGAAACCTGTCTATGATTCTGAAGGTCAGTCATTAAGGAGGTATTGTTCACGGGCTGGAGTGGGTAGGTGCTTCGTTCCTCTGTAATGGGAAGGGGGGTGTGGTGATATCTGGAAGGGATCAGCTCTATAACTGAACTGTACGTTTTTGGAAGCTGGAATCTGAGTCTAGCTTCCATCCCCAAGAATGATTGGTAGTTTCACTGGAAGAGCCATTTCACATCCCCCTGAATGAGGAAAGATGATTAAAATAAAGATTCATTTTCATTGATTGTCTTAAAGGTACATGGACAGTGTGGGCATGGGTAACGTTGAATATGCTGGTGTTGAAGTCTAAAATGTTTTAGCAGCTCATATCTACAGACAGAGAGAGACTCCACTCCTTACAGTTCCACATCCCCACGCAAATAAAGAGAAATGNCCGAAACACAAAGTTTGTAGTTGGCCAGTTTACACACACAACAGGCTAATGTGCCGATTTAAAACATTCTTGGAAACACAACTAACGTCACATTAATATATTAAGATTCTTACCTTTGTAAGCAATCATCTATTTCACAGGTGGAAAAGAGCGGCAAGATGTCCGTCGTCCAAAAGGAAGAATGATGAAAGAACCGGATATAGAATGTCACTCTC